ATGTTTCTAAAGGGAGGGAAAGGGGATCGTTATATCGAGAAAGACGCTGACAATTCGTTATGGATATTCTGGCAATACAAAATTCCTTAAATTGAGGTGACTTATAAAACTCTAATTTTATAGAAAGATAAGTTTTCCAGTCCTGTACAACACTGATTCACGGTCTTTTCCCTGTAATCAAAATTCAAGTACAACTTGATACACACAGAATCTCCGGTTCCCGACCTGGATGATGGCTAGTTATTTTATTTAATTTAAAGTTACATATTAGTACTCGTGATAAATCAAACCCGTTATGTAAGCCAAAGCCACACGGTTATTAATCACACTTGGTTTTGGATTTGCTTACAAACGTGATCGGAAATGGTTAGGGCCTACACAGTATTCTTAAAGAACATTTATGTAAACATATCAGTGACAGCTAGGAAAAGGAATCTTTATCAAAAAAGCTGTTCGTAATTTCATATATGACGTGTTCTCTTAACAGATTCATAAATTAATGACGTATGTAGTAAACATGGAGAAAATAAACTAGAAAAATCACACAAAATTGTATTTTTGATCGTCCGTTATTTTATTTCCAAAATAGTGAGGCCATATTTTAATGGCTATAAGGACTCTCTCGCCAATCCTGTGGATACAATTAAACCATTAGAATCATAATCGGAACTCTAGTTTTCTTTAGAGTATGTAGGCCATGAGTAGGCTGCATAAAATGCCTTCTGGGCCGTGACAGACGGACATAAATGGAGATAAGACATGTTTCAACTTCTTCAATGTATAAAACATAAATAACCCAAAATATGTATAATTCTGAGCAATGTACAGAAAAAACTATAACTTTATTGATATAGATTAACTGGGTTTGAATTTTAAATATCTAAAAAAAATTATAAAACTTTTATAGTTTTACAAATAGTGCTGCGCGGGGGAATAATGTTTCTCATTTGTTGTGTACATCATTTATGGGGGGGGGGTTGTTGCTCAATGGGGGGGGGGGGGGTGCGTCATGAGTCTAGGGGGGGATGGGCACCCCTGTATTAGGTGTTGTCAGTGATATGTTTTTACTTGGAAAAAACTTTAAACTGAAAGTTCTTCTCAAGTTTCACGGACTTAGTTATTTTAAATTGTGCCACAACAAAGCAAAATATATGTTATCAGCAATCAGCAGTTTTCGCAAACCTTTTCATCAACTTAAGCGACCAAGTCCACCAGTCACAATGCTCGGTCGTCCACCCTTCACTTCCTCATGACTCATGAGTGTCAGATCAGCCATTTTTAAACTGAATGCACTATTTTCCACAGAACTTTAATTCATTACGATGTTTCCTTAAACTTCACACACTTGGCGTTGAAATTTCTGTTGGTTTCAAGTTTCTTGCCAACAAAAACCGCATCACTGACCACACCTCATAACTAGCAGGATTTTCAATCGTAGCACTCATCTTAGTTGAAATTGTGAAAAAACAGGCAGCGCGAGAATGCTCCCGTTGTTATGGGTGGACGCCGACTGAGTTGCCGAGTGCGCACACACCAAAATATACAAGACCACAACGGCAAAATGTAGCGGCGGCGAAATAAAATGTTCTTTGCTTTCTGGATAGCCCTTGTCTTGTATGTAAAAGAAGTTACATCACAGGGGAAAAAACAAAGCAAGTAACACGGCTGTTGCCAAGGTTTATTAAAATACCTTTAATCTCAGAGACACAAATTCCTACTTTTGGATCTTCTGATCTTTAGAACTACAGAATGGTATATTTTGGATCTTCTGACCCTCACTTGGTTCACAAGATCAAAAGTCTAAACGACACTCTCTTCCATAGGATCATTAACAATGTAAAATTTTACATCTGGTAATGACTTTTGGATCTTGTGATCTGAAGTGTAAACTTTTGGATCTTCTGAAGATGATCTGGCTAAAGCATTTGTGCAAACGCCAATCAATGAGTTGACAGATGGGTGTTCAGTTGGGTTTTCCTGGCAAAAGTCTTCCCACAGACAACACACTTGTGATTCCTGGCGATTCCATGGACAGCCATGTGTTGTTTGACATGGGTTCTTAGTTTGAACGTTTGACCACATATATTACAGACATGAGGTCTGCTATCTTTATGTGTATGCTCGTGCTGCTGTAAATTACACTCTCTTTTAAATGCTTTGCCACAAGTATGACAGACATACGGTTTATTATCAGAATGTGTCAAGGAATGAATTTTTAAATTTTGATTTGTTGGGAACATTTTTCCACATTTTTCACAACTAAAACCTCGAGTTGTACCTGAGTGCTGCTTTTTAAGATGTTCCAACAAAGTCTCTTCGAAGGTAAACACTCTACTACAATTAGCACATTTATATTGTTCGAGAGGCAAATGGCATCTTTTAACATGCATGGTTAATTTTTTTTTATCAGCAAAATTACTATTACATTCTCCACATTGGTATTTTTTTGTATGCACATGCACCCGAGAAGTATGTTTTCTAAGACCACTTTTATCTGCATATGTCTCATTACAAAGTTTACATGTATAACTGAGATTTCTGTTCAATTGATAATGCACATTTTTAATGTGTATTGTAAGGTAAAATGCTTTTGCAAGACCTCTTTAACATATTGGACAAACATTTTTTTTCAAACCTCCTGAATGTACGTTTAAAATATGAGACTTCAACACATTAAACTTGCAAAATGATTCGGCACAGAGTGCACATTCCAAAAATTCTTGTAGGGAACCAGTATTTTTTTTGTAACCATTTGACAGAACCTCAGAGTCAAAGGCCTTTTTACACTTAACACATTCACACAGAACACCATTCAACTGAGCTGTGCACTTTCCTCCTTCACTCTGCACCTGAAACACGCCAAAACTGATATTCAGACTGAACCTCTAAGGGTTCAGAATATCATTGGTACACTTTTAGTAAATATTTCTAAATGTTGTGTTGATTTGTTTTCAGCCAGGATAATAATTATTACAACAAGAGGGCCCGTGTGTTAGTTGTGCAGTTTAATTAGAGCCATTTATTCAATATTACATATAACAGTCTTGATACCTGTGCACAAAATGAGTGCATAGCATCATTGAACATATAACAAATAAAGAGAAATTAAGTTATAAGTTAATTGCAGAATATGAGAAAAAACCCGGCCGCGTATCACGATATATCATAATGATTGACATACAAAATAATGGTTATATTCTAATTGAGTACTGGAGTACCGAGCCATAGCTCGGTATAGTTTATTTTGATTGTAAAAGCAATAAAAAAAACCCCCATGTTTTTCTAATTTTGGCTTTTTAGCCAATTTCCCTATAGGGAAGTAGCTATTACCGTAGTAATCATTTTCATTATCATCATTACTTAAGGCCTCGGAAACATCTTCTCTCTCAATAGCAGCAAAATCCTGAATATTATCTTAATTTTTTATTAACACATTATCAATGGCGGCAAAATCCTGAATATTTCCTGCGGTCGTGTGGTCGCTTCCCACAGTGACGTAAACGTCATCACAGTCTTAACGTTATCATGGAAAAATCCTGGACATCTCCCGCGGTATGTATACATTATCGCCGTCTCTCGCGATCACGGAAACGTAATCATCGTCATCCACGATCACGGCTAAATCATGAACATCTGCGGCCGTGTAGACATAATCATAGCCTCCCGCAGTCACGGAAACGTCATGTATTCGTCGTTGTCCGCAATCTCGGCAAAATCATGAATATTTCCCGCGGCAGTGTAAACATCATCGTTGATCCCGCGGTCACGTAAACGTCATCGTCGTCGTCCGCGATCGCGGCTAAATCATGAACATCTGCAGCCGTGTAGACATAATCATAGCCTCCCGCAGTCACGGAAACGTCATATTCGTCGTCGTCCGCAATCTCGGCAAAATCATGAATATTTCCCGTGGCCGTGTCTACATCATCGTCGTCTCCCGCGGTCACGGAAACGTCAACGTCGTTTCCTGCGGTCACGGAAACGTCATCGTCGTCGGCCGCAATCACGGCAAAATCATGAGCATATCACGCGGCCGTGTAGAAATCATCATCGTCGTCTTTCGCGGTCACGGCAAATCACGAAAATCTTATGCGGCCGTGTAGACATCATCATTGCCTCTCGCAGATATGGAAACGTCATCGCCGTCGTCCGCGGTCACGGAAACGTCATCGTCGTCTCCCGCGGTCACGGAAACGTCATCGTCGTCTCCCGCGGTCACGGAAACGTCATCGTCGTTTCCCGCGGTCACTGATACGTCATCGTCGTCTCCCGCGGTCACGGAAACGTCATCGTCGTCTCCCGCGGTCACGGAAACGTCATCATCGTCGGCCGCAATCACGGCAAAATCATGAGCATATCACGCGGCCGTGTAGAAATCATCATCGTCGTCTTTCGCGGTCACGGCAAATCACGAAAATCTTGCGCGGCTGTGTAGACATCATCATTGCCTCTCGCAGATATGGAAACGTCATCGCCGTCGTCCGCGGTCACAAAAAAGTCATCGTCGTCTCCCGCGGTCACGGAAAAGTCATCGTCGTCTCCCGCGGTCACGGAAACGTCATCGTCGTCTCCCGCGGTCACGGAAACGTCATCGTCGTCGGTCACTATCGCGGCAAAATCATGAGCATTTCACGCGGCCGTGTAGAAATCATCATCGTCGTCTTTCGCGGTCACGGAAACGTCATCGTCGTCTCCCGCGGTCACGGAAAAGTCATCGTCGTCTCCCGCGGTCACGAAAACGTCATCGTCATCTCCCGCGGTCACGGAAACGTCATCGTCGTCTCCGCGGTCACGGAAACGTCATCGTCGTCTCCCGCGGTCACGGAAACGTCATCGTCGTCTCCCGCGGTCACGGAAACGTCATCGTCGTCTCCCGCGGTCACGGAAACGTCATCGTCGTCTCCCGCGGTCACGGAAACGTCATCGTCGTCTCCCGCGGTCTCAAAAACGTCATCGTCGTCGCCCGCAATCGCGGCAAGACGCATTTTACTACTACAATCTTTTACCGGGGCTAAAATAAACACACAATAATTCCTACTTTTGGATCTTCTGATCTTTAGAACTACAGAATGGTATATTTTGTATTTTCTGACCCTTGGTTCACAAGACCAAAAGTCTAAAGGACACTCTCTTCCATAGGGTCATTAACAATGTAAAATTTTATATCTGGTAATGACTGTACTTTTGGATCTTGTGATCTGAAGTGTCGCCATTTCATCGAACAGTATTATTCAATAATGTAAACTTTTGGATCTTCTGAAGAGGATCTGGCTAAAGCATTTGTGCAAACACCAATCAATGAGTTGACAGATGGGTGTTCAATTGGGTTTTCCTGGCAAAAGTCTTCTCACAGACAACACACTTGTGATTCCTGGTGATTCCATGGACAGCCATGTGTTGTTTGACATGGGTTCTTAGTTTGAACGTTTGACCACATATATTACAGACATGAGGTCTGTTATCTCTGTGTGTATGCTCGTGCTGCTGTAAATTACACTCTCTTTTAAATGCTTTGCCACAAGTATGACAGACATACGGTTTATTATCAGAATGTGACAGGGAATGAATATTTAAATTTTGATTTGTTGTGAACATTTTCCCACATTTTTCACAACTAAAACCTCGAGTTGTACCTGAGTGCTGATTTTTAATATGTTCCACTAAAGTCTCTTTGAAGGCAAACACTCTACTACAATTAGCACATTTATATTGTTCGAGAGGCAAATGGCATCTTTTAATATGCATGGTTAATTTATTTTTATCAGCAAAATTACTATTACATTCTCCACATTGGTATTTTTTTGTATGCACATGTACCCAAGAAGTATGTTTTCTAAGACCACTTTTATCTGCATATGTCTCATTACAAAGTTTACATGTATAACTGAGATTTCTGTTCAATTGATAATGCACATTTTGAATGTGTATTTTAAGGGAATATGATTTTGTAAGACCTCTTTTACATATTGGACAAACATTTTTTTTTAAACCTCCTGAATGTACGTTTAAAATATGAGACTTCAACACATTAAACTTGCAAAATGATTCGGCACAGAGTACACATTCCAAAAATTCTTGTAGGGAACCAGTATTTTTTTTGTAACCATTTGACAGAACCTCAGAGTCAAAGGCCTTTTTACACTTAACACATTCACACAGAACACCATTCAACTGAGCTGTGCACTTTCCTCCTTCACTTTGCACCTGAAACACACCAAAACTGATATTCAGACTGAACCTTTAAGGGTTCAGAATATCATTGGTACAATTTTAAAATATTCTAAGCCTCTTTCACACGAAGTGGCGCGCGCTGTACGGCGTCCGCCGAGCGGCGCTGCGCCGGACAAGCGTGTTTCTTCACACTAGTAGGGTTTCGTGCGGCGCACGTCGTACGGCACACCTAAATATTTATTATTTTCTGTTCAGTTGTGGCTTTTAAATGAATACTCCACTTAAAAGTTCAAATAAAATGAATAGGCTAATTTTAAATATAATAAACTAGAGCACCTGTTGCTCGAATTAGAGCAATTGCAAAATATTAAAGGAGTTTTTTTTTACGAATAATTGTCACAATTTCTGTTGACGTGTGAGAGTCAACTCAAAGATAATGTAACCAATCACTCTACTCCAGTTATCGAAACTGGAAACGAACTCACTCTGAAAACGAACGCTCACTCAACTCCATCTATCAAAACTGAAAACAAAAACTCTTGTGTGTATCATGTGTGTACTATGAACAGCTGTAATTAATACAAATTATTTGTCTGTTTACCTAACAAAATCTTGTCTTCATAATTTGATATACATTGGGATTTTGATGGCCTGAGGGTAGTGATGTAAAACACCCAGGTATTTAAAACTCGGGGTAAATACCCTGGGTATTTACCCGGGTAAATACCCAAAATCCATAAATACCCGGGTATTTTGGGTATTTATAAAATCAATTGAAATTCATTTCTATTTACCCCTAAATATGTTATTGTTATTACATGATAAATTAGGATAGTCAATTACAGTAACTTGAAGCTTTGCTCGCTTAATGATTTAGCACTTTTTTTTTAATAATACATAAAGTTTCTAAATAAGCATGGGGTTTTGTGTCTTAAATCGAGTAACATCAGTTAAATTTAACTCACTAAAAAATATTATATATTAAAAAAGGCTGTGGCTATTTCAATTTTTATAATTTCATTAATTTATAACCAATTAAATAACATAAACAAAATTATTTTAATTTATAAATATCCAGGAATTGTTGGGTACTTATGATGCAAAATTTTTATTGTATAAATGGTTTGGAAGGCTAGATAGACCTAAGGCCTATTTGACATCTAGGCAGAATGATAGAATACTTTTAAGTAGGCTTAGTTAAACTTTTCTGTGTTACCGCTTGGTTGGAAACAATACAGTCCACTCTTGGTAATTCAAACACTTGATAATTCAAAACTTTCGATAATTCAAAATGAAGGCTCAGTCCCTAGAGAATCTCTCAATATTTCAAATTTTTACCATGCATTTTGATACACTCGGTATTTCAAAGTCCAAATAGAGGGCAGGTCAATTTGTAACACGCAGTAATTCAAAGTTTCGTCGGTTAACACTCTATAATTCGAAGTCATGCTGTAATTTGAAGTTTCGTCGAAAAAACACTCTATAAATCAAAGTCACACAATAATTCGAAGTTTAGTCGGCAAAACACTATATTTCGAAGTGATCTCTTCCTGTTATAACAGGAAACTATACAGTACAGTACATCCTGTTCCCATGGTAGGCTAGTGTTGGACGTTTTGATGTTTGTTTAGTTAGAGCAGTAGTCAGAGTTAGTTCGCTGACTTGTTTTTCTAAGTTGGCAATCCGATCTCTAGATTGCGCGACATCTCCTTGAGCACGAACGTAGTTGTCGACAGCTTATTTTGATACCATTGATACCAACAAAAGATTTAGAACAAAAATATTAAATCCTGCCATCCTACAGATTGAATTTTAAAATTATTTTTCTTAAGTTGTTTACACATAGGCTAGGTTAAGTTGTTAGACTAGGTTAAATTTTCCTGTCATTCTAAATAATAATTATTAGGTACTTAGCAAATTATTTTTTTTTAACTTTCAATCAAATAAATTCATCTATCCATCATAGAAATTAAAAAATCATAAGTAGTCAGGACCAGTGCAGCAACCATGCGACCAGGGTATTTATGCCGATTATAACCAGAAGTAAAATGCCAGTAGTGACCATATGAAATTTTGTTTAATACATTTTATCATCATTTTACTATCCTTGCAAGGTAATAATTGCAAAAAAACATCTAAATCTTCTCTAACTTAAATAAAAATTATAAATACCCAGTTTTTGGGTATTTACCCGGGCCTGGGGTAAATACCCGGGTAAAAACCCAATTTATATTTACCTACCCACTGGGTATTTACCCGGCCCACATCACTACCTGAGGGGCAAAGCCCAAGGACTTTTACTACAGGAATTAGTGAAAGGGACGTGTAACACAACAAATACTTGATTTTGACACATCGTTTGTAAAAATCTGTCCATTATTAATGGAGGAGTAGTATTTCGTAGAAATCGCCTTCACGTATTATATATAAGTATTCGTCATATCTGAAAATATTGTATTCTAGAAGTTTAAAAAAAAATGTTTCATTGCATATAAATTACTAAATTATTAATTTAACACTAAATATTCTCCTCTAAACAACCACACAACAATTGTTCATCATGTAAGTTATTAAAGGAAACATTTTTTTTATACTTTAAGTTGGCCGATTTTCATAGGATGAACATAAAAAAATATGTTTTGTAATAACTTAATATATATTATTAATAAATATATTATTTTTGATATATAATTTCTTAATCAACTGTTGCACCCTCTTGGTTAGGTAGTTTGCCTAAATTGAGACAGCGTAGGGGTTGGGCCGTGCGGCGCGCGCCGCACCGTGTGAAAGCTCCCATAAGAACCAATGCCCCTTCACCGAATTGTCGGGCGTGGACGCCGCACGGCGCTGTTGTCCGGCTGAAGGTGCATCCGGCGGTAACTCGCACGCCGAACATAGTGTGAAAGGACTCATATACTCCCATAGCCCTATGCCGGATCCGGTGGGCGCCGCACGGCGAGCACCGCGTCGTGTAAAAGAGGCGTTAAATGTTGTGTTGATTTGTTTTCAGCCAGGATCTATAATATTAAAACGTGACAGGGTTTTTTTAATTTCACGATTCTGAATCAACCACTAGACGGATTTTCATGATTTTTGGGTTGAAAGAAAGATAATTTTGAGAACTAGGGAATGTCGAAGCCATAATTTTAGTTTAGGGTCCCAGTTTTTTAGAAATTAAGTTTTAATTTTTTTAAAGTCTAGCAGCCGACGCTAACATTCTAAACTAGCTTTTGGTATGATATGATTTGCTTAACATAACAGTAGTTGTAAATATTCAGCGTTTGTTACACAAATTCAGCATTTGGATAAAAATTAAAAGACATACTAAGGGTTGACTTATTTATACTATGTGTAATGCTGATCATTGATAAGTTCAATTCTTCGGTAAGAGGATGATAGATGAATTAAATATATATAGTAAAATACTAGGATGTTCAAATTATTTTGTAAAGCAATCTTTGATTTGTTTTAGTGCAATATAATTTGTTTTAACTAACAGCTGATTAAATATAAAACTATTCTATAGAACTATTAGGTTATTTTATTTACTCTGATTTAGTAATTGACTATAGGAAATAAGTAAGATTAGTAGATATAATTATAGACCACAGAGATAAGTAAAACCATACCCCCGCCGCAGCAAACCTGCAGACTAAGCGAATTTCCATTAACCTGATTGGATTTACACTAAAATGCCTCCATAATAATAGCCCATTTATTTCCTATTTAAATAGAATTAGTTTAACGAGTACTTAGGTTTGCTGCAACAGGGAGGGTAAAAAAGATTTTTTTTTATAAAATGATAATTAGTTTAGTAAGAAATAAAAGTATTTTCCAAAATCAATCAAAATATGTTCATAAACAAGCAAACTACAACAGTTGACTTATTCTCCATAAGAATAACATAGGAATTTTAAAATTACAATTTTTTTGAATTTTCTCCGTAACAATTAGGCGCATAATAACGCTTCAATATACTAAATTATTTGTTTTTTTAAGCTCTACAAAATGGTTTAAAAAGAAATTGTGAAACTTTGTGTTTTTAAGGTCAAAAATGGGAAAAACCTATTTTTACCCCATAAAACCCCCCATAAACCCCCGTTCCCATAGTCCGATCATGCTGCTTCGCGAACTCATTTTAGTTTATCCCGCCTTTTATTACCAAATTTTATCAAAATCGGACAAAAATTACTCAAGTTATCGTGCCGATGGACACATATGTATATATATAGATATATAAAAATTTGAACGAATGGTGTTTTTGGCCTCTGGGGACATCAAAATGAAAAAGTAAATCGGTCCCGGGCTTAGGT